AATGCTGGCGGCGCCTTGCAAAAAGGAGTCGGGGGCAGTTGCTGGTAAGTGCAAAAAACCGTGCGCGAAAAGGGGGCGAAGCAACGGCGAAACAATTGCCTTGAAAACTGCAAGGACTCGTCCAAGCAGTCACTGCAGAGTCGGTAACGACTGAGCGCAGATTAAAAAAAAAAAAGAACAAAGTTTAATTCTGATTTCTCTGGTTTGAATTAGAATAAAGTTGTGGTTTTACTCACATTATAGATATTAACTTAGCATACTAATGCCAGGTTATGCTGCTCCCAACAAATGCTTTGTGATAAACACTGTTAACAATAGTTGCACTGTCTATTCTTTAAATGCAACTCAGGATAACATTTCATCTTATGAACTGAAGTCCACAAAAACTTCTATTATTATACATTTATTAGACAATAAAAGTGTGACAAAAGTTGTTTTTATGACAGTCTGTCCACCCTGTTGCGCCAGCTTTCAAATATTATGTCTACCTATTGTTATTAATTTGCTCCACCCCAGAGGGAGTTGCATTTGTGTAATGAAAATTATGGGATGTGTGTGTGTGTAGATGTGCGTGCGTGCATGCATGTGGACACCTGTACTAAGCTTTCAGTTAATTTATATAGTACATGCAGTGCTTCTGTGTAACTCTGGAATTATGGCTGGTTGGCATAATGAATATCTAATACATTCCACTTCTTTATGCCTCTCTTCTAGAAGAATTTGACCACAATAACTCCCTGTATGTCTCTCTGTCTTTCCTCCTCCCTCCTCCACCCTTGCTTGTTTTTCTCGGCCTCTTCCTCTCCCCCCTCTTTCTCCTCTGGAATGGGCAGCTTCCCAACTAGCCAGCAGAAAATAAAGAAATATTCAAACTCTCTCCATAACACCACCACCCAGTCCTTGGTTACCATGGATCCCCCAATGCCCTTCGCAGTTTGGTCTGCTGCCCCTCCCAGCCACCTGTTGGGGGTTCATATAACCCGCCCCTCGCTGTCCCTAAGCTCAGGCTCCCTTGGGATCCTTCTAGACAACAGCAGGTACCTGTGAAGGAGAACAATGCAATAACAAACAGTTTGTCGGAGCCACCGAGAAAAGAAAGCAGTGGATTTATCCTTATTTCTCCTTTAGGGGTTCTTCATCTTTTAGACTTCGGTCCATCCTTCTCCAACCCAGCTCCAAAAGTGACACTTCACAGACAGTTATTTCTGGATGACCCCACATCATAAACCGTCTCTTGGAAGCTATAGATTGCCATCTTCAAGGCTGCTTTGCTTTGCAGGTAACCCAAGAAGGCCTCTTCTGTAACGATACTGCTCGCTAATCTACTAAAGAGACTTAATTTTGCAGAAAAGCTCCATAAGTTTCTTTGTCCTAGGCAGCCACATCGGTGCAATATTCTGTTAGGATTTATTATCTAAGTTTGCTTTCAGAGGGGAAACATAGACTTCTGATGTTGCGTCCCTCCATTTAGAGGTTGCATTTTTGAATTCTCATCTTCATTGGTTTCTATCCAGAACAG